GATCCACTGTGGTGAAACCCACTGCGTCCTCTGTGTGATCCACTGTGGTGAAACCCACTGCGTCCTCTGTGTGATCCACTGTGGTGAAACCCACTGCGTCCTCTGTGTGATCCACTGTGGTCAAACCCACTGTGTCCTCTGTGTGATCCATGGTCAAACCCTCTGTGTCTTCTGTGTGATCCACTGTGGTCAAACCCACTGTGTGATCCACTGTGGTCAAACCCACTGTGTGATCCACTGTGGTCAAACCCACTGTGTGATCCACTGTGGTCAAACCCACTGTGTCCTCTGTGTGATCCACTGTGGTCAAACCCACTGTGCTTTCTGTGTTGTCCAAATCAGTCTTACTTGTGTGTACTCTGGAGTGAAACTAATCATGTCTTGTCTGTCTTTCTATTATCTTCATGGATTCCTTGACTGGATGGCTTGAGCCCATCCATATGTCTTTTGAAGTTTTACATGTAAGAAGACCCAGCTGGACTTTTCCAACTTTTTCTTGGTTTTTCCGACACTTACACTTCTAAGAAGACCATTGTTCTGCCTCATTAATTTCATACGTTTGATTTGTCAGAGTAGCAAAAAGTGAACCTTAGGGACATGGCCGGTTCGGAAATGTGTTTAGTTTGTTTAGGATTTTCATACTCCTGTTTACTCACCAGGAGGATCTCACTGTAAAAGTCGGCCTTTGGACTTGGTCTTCATCATCGACAGCTCCCGGAGTGTGCGCCCTGCTGAATTTGAGAAAGTCAAGACCTTCATAAGTGACATGGTAGATACGCTGGAGATAGGCCGAGATGCCACCCGGGTGGCTGTAGTCAACTATGCCAGCACGGTCCAGATCGAGTTCCTTTTGAAGAGCCACTTCAACAAGGCGGACCTGAAGCGGGCCATGTCCCAGATCGAGCCACTCTCCACAGGCACCATGACTGGCCTGGCCATCAAGACGGCCATGGAGAAAGTCTTTACTGAAGAGTCGGGCGCCCGGCCTCGCTCCACCAACATCTCCAAGGTGGCTATCATCGTGACGGATGGGCGGCCGCAAGATGGGGTGGAGGAGGTGTCCGCTACAGCCCGCGCTGCACAGATTGAGATCTATGCCATCGGGGTGGATCGCGCGGACCTGCAGTCCCTGCGGCTCATGGCCAGTCAGCCCCTAGACGACCACGTCTTCTACGTGGAGACATACGGTGTCATCGAGAAGCTCACCTCTAAGTTCCGGGAGACACTTTGTGGTAAATACACAGGCATGTGGTGTGACTGTACACGTAAGCGCACAGGCGTGTGGTGTGACTGTACACACAGGCGTGTGGTGTGACTGTACCGGTAAGCGCACAGGCGTGTGGTGTGACTGTACACGTAAGCGCACAGGCGTGTGGTGTGACTGTACACATAAGCGCACAGGCGTGTGCCGAGACTGTACCAATGAACGCGAAGGTATATGCTGTGACCTGCCGTGCAGATATATTAGCATTCTGACCCAAACTGAACTACAGTCTGTTACCACATTTTCAGGTACAATTGGTGATGGCTTGGTGCTGAACACCAGCCACGGTAAATGAGATGGTGCGCTCGCTCTCTCTCTCTCTCTCTCTCTCTCTCTCTCTCTCTCTCTCTCGCTCACTCCTCATTGCAGAGAAAACTCGTAACTTTCACTGGCCCCATTTTTCTTGTTCCTCCTGTCTGTTCCAGGTCTAGACTCCTGTACACTTGGACACGACTGCGAGCAAATTTGTGTCAACAGCANCTGACCCAAACTGAACTACAGTCTGTTACCACATTTTCAGGTACAATTGGTGATGGCTTGGTGCTGAACACCAGCCACGGTAAATGAGATGGTGCTCTCTCTCTCTCTCTCTCTCTCTCTCTCTCTCTCTCTCTCTCTCTCTCTCTCACTCTTTCTCTCGATGCCTTGTCTTCTGATTCACTGGCCCCATTTTTCTTGTTCCTCCTGTCTGTTCCAGGTCTAGACTCCTGTACACTTGGACACGACTGCGAGCAAATTTGTGTCAACAGCAACACCTCCTATTACTGCAGGTGTCACGAAGGGTACACCCTGAATGAGGACAGGAGAACCTGTTTGCGTAAGAGGTTCCATGTCAAACGATGGGCGTAGCTGTGAACCCGTTGGTGTGAAACTACTCGCAGGTTTTAACAGGGAGGAGGAGATTTGACAGGAGGCTGTCAATCTCTTCTAGAAAGCAAGGATTTGAGGGCAGACACTGAATTTTCAAACGCATATTAACAGACCTGTGTGGTGCAATCCGGGCCATACAGCGCGAATATGCATTTCAGTCCAGATCAGTCAAGATGTAGTGATTTTGTCCCTGTGTAAGCAGACCTGCACTGAGGCTGTATGCAGTAGCACTTGCTAACTACACATGATAACATGCATACACCTCATTTACTGCGGGAATTTGTACAGCACAACTGGAATGTCTGCTGCCCAGAGTATATACTGTGGCACTGAAACAAAAGTAACAATGGGCATCAGAAAGACCAAATTGCGGAGTTACTGATCCCTTTGATGCCACGGCGTAACGCACCGTGCCGTCCTCTGAACATGCTCCCTCCAGGTGTGGATGGCTGCGCTCCCGGACAAGACTGCGAGCCGGTTTGCACGGAGCGCGAAGGCTTGCAGGTCTGCTCGTGTCCAGTGGGGTATGTCTTAAACGAGGACAGGAGGACATGTTCACGTAAGAGCCTGTGGATCTGCCATGCTCGTGCATGCTGGATTGGCTGAATTTTTGGATAATTTACAGATATATAAACTTTCAGCGGGCTTCTGCATCACAGCGATGATGCGGTGTTAAATGGTGATCTGCACCGTGTATAGAACATGACAGCAAATGCCATCGCAGCCCATTTAACTTCTCCGCTTAAAAATGGTGCTTTTCGAATCCCTACAGATTATTGCTGCAGGTTTCCCTGTTATAGTAGTTCTCCACACAAACCCAAATTCACTGTTCCTCCCCAATCAGGAAGGATCCATGAAACCGCACTAACGCTACCATATTGGTTGTTTCGTCACATGACCAGGTCTGGACGGATGTGCCCTCGGACACGACTGCGAGCACATTTGCATCGACAGCCGCGGCTCACAACGCTGCAGGTGTCGGAATGGGTATTTCCTGAATGAAGACAAGAAAACGTGTTCGCGTAAGAGCCCCTGGGGCCTGCCGTGGATGCTGGGGGCTGACGGACTCTTTTCTTGGTGCCAAATGTGTCCATATGGGAGCAAAAGTTTTCCAGTGGGAATGGGGAGACCCTGCAGACGCATACATGTGGCCTGCACCATGCATGTGGCAGGGGTCCCAGTTTCACCTCCCTTCAGACCATCCGCAAAGTCATTTCATAACCTTAAGCTGAGCACAAAAGACCTTTAAGAGTTCTGCATAACTCACAATGGCACATTTTAAGGTGATCAGACATTAACAGTTAGGGTGGGGCTCCGGTGTCACGGTAATGGCTATGGGTTAGCGTGGCTGTGGTTTAGCCAGGCTGTGCCATTGCCTGACTGGGATAGAGTGGCTGTGGGTTAGGGCGTTTTTCCACTGCCCCATTTCTTCCAAGCGACTTAATTGGTATTACGGTGTTCCGGGCTATTCAGTTTCCCTATGTTTCTCCTGTCTATCAGGAAATAATGTTTCCCCTAATATTAAAGCAAAGAGGTATGTCAAATGTCTGAAAATCACTCATGTATATTATTACATGTGAATACAGTAGATCGTCACGCATAATATAGTCTAATAAGCAATACTATACCGTTTTCATCAAGAAATATCTCTATCCAGCGAATTAAGTAATTTCATTTATTATCTGTAAAAACATAGTAAAGGCATGTGATGTTTTAAAATTAATATATGGCTTGTTTACCTCAAGAGCTTCGTAAAAAGACATGAAAACAGCGAAACTGTGTACAAATCAGCGCGCGACAGGGGAAACATAGGGAAACTTGATTGCCCGGAACGGCAAAAAATTTTTTATTTCCAGTCGTGCCATCCAAATCCCACTGGATCTGTTCATCCGACCATATAGCGATTAAAGCCTGTGTTTCCTCGTTTGTCCATCCTTCCATTTTACTTTTTTATATTTTTGTTTCTACTGCTTTTTATTTTGTTTCTTGCTGTGATCGCTCTGTTCGCTGTGTGTTTCAAAAGATGGCGGTTGTATTTTGTGTTTCAGCGGCAGGCTATTTGCATAACCAATCGACAGCAAATACGTTTGCAAGTCCCACCCCAAAGTACCGAAGTACCAAAGAAGTACCCCAACTGGTTTGGCACTTTCGGTACTCGAGATCTCGGTACTGGTACTCAACCGGAAGTCAATGGAAAAGCGAAAGTACCGTACCTGAAGTACCGTACTTTGTGCGGTGGAAAGGCGCCCTAAATAGTGTAGTTGCAACATTCGGTTGGATAAATAAATAAGAAAAAGCTAACATGTCATTATTTCTGGCTCCTTTCATTGAATATGTAGCAACTGTCGTGTATGAATGAGCCATTGACACCTGGCCCTTAGTGTGGCTGTGGGATAGCGCTGTGGTGGGTTAGCGTGGCTATGGGATAGCGCTGCGGTGGGTTAGCGTGGCTATGGGATAGCACTGTGGTGGGTTAGCCTGGCTATGGGATAGCGTTGAGGTGGGTTAACGTGGCTATGGGATAGCGCTGCGGTGGGTTAGCGTGGCTATGGGATAGCGCTGCGGTGGGTTAGCGTGGCTATGGGATAGCGCTGCGGTGGGTTTGCGTGGCTATGGGATAGCGCTGTGGTGGGTTAGCGTGGCTATGGATTAGTGTGGCTGTGCAGTAACATGGCTGTGGGATAGCATTTTGGTAACAGTGCTGCAGGAATGCAGTACCCTGGCACCAGGGGCGGATTAACGCACAGGCTAGATATGGCTTAAGCCTAGGGGCCCCACGTGTGCCAGCCTGCAAGGGGGCCCCCATTGGCGCGGAGCGGGGCTGGGTTGGGGGGCCCACAGACTACTGTAGCCTAGGGGCCTCCGTACACCTTAATCCGCCCCTGCCTGGCACGCTAATGGCAATGTCCTTCTTGCAGAGGAAGCCAGGGCAACAGTGTTGCAAGACCCATGCAAGTGTGAGGCACAGGTGGCCTTCCAGCGGAAGATGCAGACAGTGCTGCAGGACCTCAACAGCAAGCATATCCTTCCACTTAAGGGCGCATTTTGCCAACATTTCCCTTTTCTATTTTGTAGGCTGTTATTTACCTCATTAGACACAGGTTTGTTCGGTAAAATGTCTTTAACAAAAGAATGGTCTGTTACATGTGTGTGGCTTGAAGGGATTAGTAATGTCCTTAACTGTCTCTCGTACTGGATGAGGTAACGAGGAAGCTTCAGCGGTTGGAGGCTGTGCCACGTCGTTTCTGATGAAGCAGCCTATCACGTGATGCCCCGCCTCTCCGGCTGGGTACACCTATCCAATCCGCCGATGCTTATGCACTCATCGCCCTGATCAGCCGGACCCCTCTTTGTCAGTCTCTAGGAGAGAGCCTCCATTCACCCTGGCATTTTCATGCTTATACCATTTAATGAATTTTGGTTGAAGAAACGTTTTTTTGTGCTTTGTTGTATAAGTTATATTTGCCCTTTTTTAAGTAAATGTTGCGCTGTTAAAATGCTTAATGTTATTTAAAGGAGATTGAAGTTAGCTGTGTATACATGGATATAATGCTACATTTTATTTTGGGTACAGATAAAAATGTACATGTGACACTTAAATCACTCATATCCCAGTTTATTCTTTTAACTAAGGATGCGATTCTGTGCGTATGCCAGCACCTGGCACTGAGTGACACTTATGCTACAGTTACAGTGTATGTATATGTGCATATGCCTCAAATAAACTGTCCCCAGACCTGAAAACACCCGCTTCTTCTGTCCGTAATTAACAAAATTCAGAGTGGTATGTTTAATACTGCTTGTAACTAGAGACGCATCGATACCGATATTCGGATCGGTATCGGCGCCGATCCAGATCTATTTGACGGATCGGGTATCGGCCATGCGTGACCGATCCACGTCCTATACTTACTTATTTAGTTTTTGGCAATAAATCGCAGGACAGCTCTTTCCCATTTTACATGTGTTTTTGCAGCATTCAAATCGAACGCTAACGCTGTCTTTTTTGCTACTCAGTGGGTGCTTCCGCCTGCTCTGACGTCATGCGCATACCCTTCGCAGTACGAGGAGCGTAAGATAAGACGCGACGATCTGGGAGTATTATACGCTTTTAACTGAAACCAGTAGCACAGCGATTTGTAGTCTATGTACAATTAAGTTTTGAGGTGCTAATAACGTTTAATGGACAATCCCATTTAACAAAGCGCACGCAACTGCGAGACAAAACAAAGCAATGGATTATTTGGGAGTCGCTAACTTAATTGGACTAATTAACTCGCTGCAGCTTTTGATACAAGACGGGCTGCCATCGCGACAAAGTGTAGGTATGTTACAAAAAAATCCAAACCCCGCATATAACAGAAAATCTAACTGAATTTGATAGAGAACTAGATAACAAACAGAATGACACCAAAATCATTGAAATATCTTGAAAAATAAGGAAGTTATAGCAATTATAGAGGCGGAAATAAGTGATCATTTTTTCCTTTTGTTCTTAATGTATTTTAAACAAAGGCTGTGATCGTAAGTTGAAGAGAATTTTAAAGAAATTGAGTAAATTATGTGATCTTCAAAAAAATTAATTTGTTTTATAAGCTGTTTTAGTGAAAAAAGCCCTGCAAGAATGCACAAAATATCAGTGAAAGATCTCTCATAACAAACACACTTGGTCATCTACATTGTAAACAAACGCGCTTGACGAATCAGGTTGCAGTATAGCAGTCACGTGACCTCTGGGGCACCTCATTACCGTGACCGCTCAGTTGGGAATGCTTTCGTTCGCAAGCAAAACCATTGACTTCGCAACTAACAATTGTCACGAAATTTCACACAGACATGGTTGAATAAATGATATATCAAATCTATAGGATTTTATTAAAAATCTATTTACCTCTAGTGATTTTGAAGCGATGCCTTTGAGAAGTAATTTATCGGTAATTTTGCAACGGGAAAACGAAACACTTCCGACCGGTCAAAAACAAAAATTCGAAAACGAGGTTGTGACGAAAAATGTGAACTATGTCATCTATAAGCGTGTGCTCCTGGAACTTTAAAGATAAACCCACCGTTCAACTTTTTCCGCGGCTATGCTATTCCCCGCATCCACCAAACTCGTGATGACGTAAACACACCTGCGCGGAAGAGCGGCGCAGCGGGAATCGGGAGATTGTAACATACCTACGCCAATGGGAGAAAAACTGTTAAAATTTTAAGCATTCGCCACTTGTGTATACTTCCTTTGAAGATATTCCTATTGAACTGCAAATGCCTCAAAAACGCTTAAAACAAACGAGGTAGAATAGTAAATTATGTATGTTTGTAGTAGCCTAATTAAATATTATTTGTCATACATTTTTTTCCCATCTGTATTTACTAGCTTTATATATATATATATATATATATATATATATATATATATATATATATATATATATATATATATATATATATATATATATATATATATATATATATAGATAGATACAAGATATATATATCTTGTATCGGAATCTGTATCGGTATCGGCAGTTGTGTATCGGAATCGGATCGGAACTGAAAAAATGTGGATCGCCCATCTCAAGTTGTAACCAGTGGACTAATACCAGGAAAAAAATCCTTGTGCATTTCAGGTAATGTGCTGGTTCAGTAAAAGTGATTCTGAGGCTCTGATTTTGTGTCTCGGGTCAGGGTACGTAGTCTGCTTTACTAATGTAAGCTTATAGCTATTACAAGGTTTTCTATTGTCTCTGGCTAAAAGGGCTCTGGTACTCGAATGTGTGCATTAATCATGATATATAAATGATGATTACATGGTATCATCGCACATACAATGAAGAGTAACGCTGACTGAACTGTAGTTTTAAAATGAATGTTGTTATGAAAAGTGTTCCCCATCCTCTTCAGACTCGCGTTAAGGTAAACATGCTGCGTTAAGCAGAACTCCATAAGCCGCAGTATTCCTACCGGAAGTGTGGGATTGTGTACTTCCGGTTTTCGGTTACCAGGAAACCGAGAAAAGCTTTCAGGAAACCCTGCGTACGTCCGAAGCGGCTAGCTAGTGCAAGGCTAATGAATGGTGCCTTTTAATGCATAGAAGAGCAATTTTACAGAAAGCAAAATGATTTTTCAGGAGAATGTTTAAATTAAAACTATGACTACATACAACCATTAGTAAATTTTGCCCGTTAGGTACCCCAGGGGGTAACTAGTTGAGCCTGCTAACTTCTCCAAACGTGTTCGTTCGGTGTGAAGCAGCAGCGATGTTTATTTACCTGAGTAAAAAGGTAAGATTTTAAAAAACGCGAAAGCCTATACGAATAATTTATAACGCGTTTCTAAACATCCTGTCGCAGACAGGCTCTTGCATGTGCACGAAGTTGCGAATCTCATAAACCCCTTTCTTTCCAACAGTTGTATATTTGCGTTTTCTGGTGATGGGTCTTTTGAAACATTTCAGTGTCTTTGATTCACCGTGTTTGTACTCGTTATTCATTCCGTTTGCAGATCGCCATCCCGAACAACGTCCGACTTAAATGCGTGTCCTGGAACAAGGAGCAGGGCTTCATCGCCTGCGGGGGGGAGGACGGTTTGCTCAAGGTGCTCAGGCTGGACTCACAGACAGGTGATGGCTGTTACAGGCCAAGCCACGCAGCAGGAATTAACACATCCTGCATCTTTTCTGTGTGCACCTCCCATAGTCCAGCCACTGTGGCCATTCGCTCTGTCTAAATAAACTTGAGCTGCTGGTATAGTATACGCAAAAAGGAAGATCTGTGCCGCTCATAGTATAATGCTCGTGTGTGTGATATAATGTAAATGTTTTAAGCATTTGAAGAGTTTCACTTGCACCAGAGACATCTATCCATCCGTATTCTCCTTGGAAGGGTGCAGGTGATTCCCCTCATTAATGGCATTTCCCTGTGCTTTTGTGCAGATGATGCCAAACTCAAAGGACTCGCAGCGCCTAGTAACCTGTCCATGAACCAGACTCTGGAGGGTCACAGTGGTGAGTCATTGTGCTGTTTGCGTCCCCTTAAATCCGGCATGCTTTGCTACATGAAGCTTTCAGGGTGCTCTCACTCCCCCGTCACATAGGTGCGGTTCAGGTGGTGACATGGAACGAGCAATACCAGAAGCTGACCACAAGCGACCAGAACGGCCTCATCATCGTCTGGATGCTGTACAAAGGTGTGGAGGGATTGGGTGTGTGGTGTAGAAGTGAACAATATTAACCACGGTTCAATAACATATAGTGGCACAAAATAATATTACCTCGTGACAACGGTGTGACATACAGACAGCGAGTGACAAGACGGTTTTCACAGGACTTGCAGTGCAAAACACAGGACAGTGCTTTGTGCTTTAAATAATGTGAAACCCTCCCCTGTCCCTTGCTGAAATGACAGCTGTGAAGCACGTGCATCGCGGAACTCCTTAGCCATCGTGTGATCCTCACTTCTGTTTACGATATGTCACGCTAATGCTACAAGTGTTTCCGTGATTTTTCGTGCTAGACCTCTCTGATGGAAAATCAGATCGATTTCTTACTCCCCCGCCTCCCGGTATCAGATCCAACATTTTTTGCTGGTATGGGGCCGGATTTCTAATTTTAAGGATATGCAAACTACCAATGGAATGTTCAATAACCCATCTGACCAAAAAGTGAATTATAACCAAAGTTTCAGTCCTGCACCCACCTAAGTGATTAACCCCCTGTTCGGCTTGCCAGGCTCCTGGTATGAAGAGATGATCAACAACAGGAACAAGTCAGTGGTGAGGAGTATGAGCTGGAATGCAGATGGGCAGAAGATCTGCATCGTGTACGAGGACGGGGCCGTCATCGTGGGGTCGGTCGATGGTAAGCTTGCTAGGGCGCCCCCTTTAGGCGAAAGAAGCAGAGAATAGCTGTTGTGAGCTCATGGGAGTTTTACTTGCACAAAAATTTTCTGAGGGCAGAATGAAAAATGATTGGTTCGGAGAGATAACCAATCAGATTGTAGAGGAGGTACATCCAAGCAACTAGAGGAGGCAAGACCAACCAATCAGATGCTGGTTGCCAGTTGATTGGCGGAGCCAGTTGATTGCTGGTTTGCATTACAGGTAACCGGATTTGGGGGAAGGAACTGAAAGGTATTCAGCTGGCGCATGTGGCCTGGTCACCTGACAGCAAGATCCTCCTGTTTGGGATGGCCAATGGCGAGATCCACATCTATGACAACCAGGGCAACTTCATCGTAAGGGGCCTGACTCCCGCACCAGCATCCCCGGTCCCTGAGGGGGAGCACTCTCTCACTGGCCCATTGCGTTTCGTGTCACAGGTGAAAATGACCGTCAGCTGCCTGGCCAATGTCACGGGTGCCGTCAGCATCGCCGGGATCCACTGGTATCCGGGGACGGAGGGCTATGTGGAGCCCGATTGCCCCTGCCTCGCCATCTGCTTCGACAACGGCCGCGTGCAGATCATGCGCTATGAGAATGATGAGAGTGAGTGTGCCCTGGGCTTGCCTCTCGTCCGTAATGTTAGCACTGCTGTTATTGTGGCTGGTTGTTTTCATATATATGCTCCTGGATTGTGATTGGCTGGTTTGAAAGTGAATAAATGGGAAATTACATCACGGGTGATGCTGGCCCAATCAGAATATGCCTGTGGTGCTGTGCTCTTCGCCCTGGCTCAGACCCTGTGCTGATTGACACCGGCATGACCGTGGCCAGCATCCAGTGGAACCAGTGTGGTAGCGTACTGGCTGTCTCCGGCTGCCAGAGGGCTGCATCCCTGGATAAGGACGTCAATGTGGTGCAGTTCTACACTGCGTTTGGGGAGGTGAGGCCCGATGCGTCTCTGCTAACGGCGTCCGGGGAATACTAGGCTGGAGTACTAGTGCATTTTGGGATACAGGCCAGCACTGACAGTAACGGTGATGCAGGGTGGTGGTTTAGCAGTGGGGCTGCCTGGAGGCTCAGTCTGTAGCATGTCACCTCAGTCCTCCAGGGCTGGCTTTGTGTTTGTGGAGCTTGCATGCTCCCTCTTTCTCCTCAGCCTGTCCCCTGTAATGGACTGGCATCCCCCCCCCCCCCAGCCTCGTGCCCCGTTATGCCAGTGATAGGCTGCAGTCTCCCTTCCTCACCCTCATTTACTTCCTGTGCAGCATCTCCGGACCCTGAAGGTCCCTGGGAAACAGATCACAGCGGTATCCTGGGAAGGCGGAGGACTGAGGATTGCCCTGGCGGTGGACTCCTTCATTTACTTTGCCAACATCAGGCCGGATTACAAGGTCATTCAAAGTGATCAGTGTTGCTCTGGTCACTTAACATTCAGGTTATGTGTAAATATGCAGTTGCAAGTATGAACTTTTTGAGTCCTGAAATGCAGCCCTGGGCTCCCAGCTTCAGACCCTAAGGTCGCTTTTCCTGTAGGGGTCACGCGGCTTGCTGAAACACGTCAAAACAGAAGGAAATGAAATCTTATCCCGACGGCCAATTGTCACTCGTCCAAACCCGCCAGTCAGCGTATCAGTCCCGGGGCGGGGGGCTTTGGGGGACGGGTTGTGGGTGTGGCTGCGTGTCCCCATTTAGATGACGCCCTCAGAATTTTCTGCTCTCCTGGCCAGTTTGATCCTTGACTCCCCGTGATGCTGACACTGAGGGCTCTTCAGTTCAGCCTGGCCAACATCTCGCTTGCTGACCATGCGACGTCCGGCTTGCTAATGGCCCAGCATGCTGACACAGAGCAGCCGACACGCTGCAGAAAATAACCGTTTACCTTTCAGGATTCATGTTTCGCTGGCTTGGCTAATCAGGTGCAGTGGACAGGGGGGCCACACTGCGCCCCTGTGCGCCCCCTTGCAGGGCCCTGATTAGGACGCCCCTGAGTTGATCACATGACCATGCAGTACCGGTTCTAGCCAAGGTGGCGCCCTCAGTATTTGAGCATCGCTACCGGTGCCCCCATTAACGGCAAAGTGAAATCGACTGCTGAGTCAGTGGCCGCCTCAGAAGTTGATGCCCTAGGCGGCTGCCTATGTCGCCCATAGGATTGACCAGCACTGTGACCAGACATGGTTCTGCAAACCCTTTTTGGGCCTCTGAACGTTAGCACCTCGTAGAAGGTTTCACTCGGGAAGACGGTTTCAGGTGCACTCATGCCTTCCTGCTGTAATCTGTACCCTCTAATCTGTCTCCTGTCACTAAGAAGAAAGTGCTGCTTCATCACGTTTGAGGAGCTCTCTTGGGCTGTATGCTGTCTGCCTTCTAAAGCTTCCTGTTTCTCCTTCTCCCCTCCCACGATCTGGTGGACAGTGGGGTTACTGCTCCAACACAGTGGTCTATGCCTACACCCGGCCTGACCGCATGGAGTACTGCGTGGTCTTCTGGGACACCAAGAACAACGAGAAGTATGTCAAGTATGTCAAGAGCCTGCTGTCCATCAGCACTTGTGGGGACTTCTGCATCCTGGCCACCAAGGCAGACGACTCTCACCCTCAGGTATGCGCCCCCCCCATCAGCCCCCAGCCTCAGTCGTGTTTCTGAACCGAGAGAGAGAGTTAAACGAATGTCCTGATGCCCGAGGGGGTTTAGGTGAGGGTGCTGTGTCTCTCAGCGGGTGAAGGTTCTGTGTTCAAATCACAGTGTCAGCATGTGATTTGAGCAAGACCCTTAACCCCCCATTGGCTGTGTGACCCCGCCTTCTGAATGATGTATGTCTGCTAAATATAAATGCAAAAAATGCCCCCCCCCCTCTGACCCGTGTCTCTGTCTGCCACGCTCGCGGCGGCCAGGAGGATGCTGAGCCGGAATCGGCGAGCGCCATGGTACGCCCCCCGGCCTCGCGTTGTCCGCTGTGCCGGCTCGTGTTTGGTGTGATCCCGTTCCTGGAGGGTCGCGATGCTGGGGGGCGTCTTTCCTCTGCCCTCGCGTTCAGTCTTTGTTTGGCGGAGCGATGTTAGCTAACGCGGTTGCCAGTTTTGGGCCTCCAGGACCGGGCTGGTGTGAGGCATGCTGTCTGTCTGTGCCGGTGGTGATGTCATCTGTACCCTCTAATCTGTCTCCTGTCACTAAGAGGAAAGTGCTGCTTCATCACGTTGAGGAGCTCTCTTGGGCTGTATGCTCTCTACCTTCTAAAGCTTCCTGTTACAGCCCCTGCTACGCTCTGTCTGCTTTTCCAGTTCGTGCTGGTCCTGTGTAACTCGATTGGGACCCCACTGGACTCCAAATACATCGACATCGGTGAGTAGTGACCCCTGCTCCGTGCTCTCTGTCGGGGTGCTCTCAGTCTGGTGTGACGTGTTTGCTGCTTGGCCCCATCATCCCCGGGGGCCTCTCTGACATGCCAGAAGGGCCCCACCGCGGCGTCGCCGTCTGCGCTCACCAGCCTCAAAGGGCCGGCGGAGTTTGGCGGAGTCTAACCCCGTCACAGCCGGCCCTTCACAGCTTCTCGGCAAAGGCTCCCGCCTCTCCAGGCATGCCGCAAAATTCCTCTCCCTCTTGGGAAGCTGTGCCAGTGGCCGCGGTCAGGCGCCAGTGCGGTGGAAAGTACCAGAAGGTGTGGAAGTCCGAAGGCACAAAAAAGGCAGCGTTTAGTCGTATTATTAACGTTCTGTGTGCCTTCCGAGAATGTCCGTGCTACGTACACATTAGCTTATTCAATTCAGTTCAGTTCACTTTATTTTCATGTCGCTTCTTTCACAACAAAATCACTTTACATGGGTGTGTTGTGATACATTACAAGATCATTAAGACAGAATAATACGAAAACATGGAAAAGGGAGGACAAAGAAATGAAATAAAGAAAGATGACAACGGAGGAGAGGTTATGAATGAATGTTCAGCCTCGTGTTTCCAGCTGAGGCAGAAGCAGACACAGATGCTGGGGCACCTGTGAGGCCCTTCCATGGGAACTGCGCTGGGCGCTGCACTGGGAACTGCGCTGGGCACTGCACTGGGTCGTGAATCTTTCTCAGACTAAACATACACCATGTCTGACTCCTGCGGAGTTAACCGTCCCTGACGGGCTTCCTCAGAGCCGCTGTTTGTAACCATGACGAAGACCCACGTCATCGCCGCCTCCAGAGAAGCCTTCTACATCTGGCAGTACCGTGTGGCGAAGAAGCTGACCGCCCTGGAGATTAACCAGGTCACCCGGACCAGGAAGGAGGGCAGGGAGAGGTGAGGCTAGGGGGCGCCGCTGCCCGGAAGGTTCTGTTACCCTGTGGTGTCACGTTGGGGTCTCTCACCCCCTGTCATCCATTCAGGGTGTATCACATCGACGATAACGTGGCTGACGGCTCGCTGGACTTCTCTAAGGCGGCCGCTGTGAGTGCCCCTCTCCTCCCCCTGCTCTTATTTCCCCAAGTGTCTGCTGACGACAATAAACACTGGGTGCTGTCTCTGAGTCAGCGAGTGCGAGACCACCCCCCCCCCGCTTTGCACATAGTTATTAGAGCCGGTCGCTCTTTCCTGGGTGGTTGCTTTTAATCACGGGTGGAGGAAAATTCTGATGTGACTCTGAAAACCCTGTTGAGATGCTCTCTTTTCTTCGTTCACTGCAGTTTATAGGTGTATGTTTCTTTTTTCTTAGACGACCAGAGATCCCATCTGCTGCATGACAGCGACAGATAAGACTCTTATTTTGGTATGTACCCCAGCTGACTCTTATTGTGATACGTCCCTGCCCCTTAATTCCCCCACTAACTGCCAATAGCAACAGTTGTCACCTACAGCCTTAATATGACACCAATTATAAACTGCATGTCCCTAAATGAGCTTAATGTGACGTTCCCTGCTGATGAGAGTGTTTGTGATCAGGCCCGGGAGTCCGGCACCATCCAGAGGTACAGCCTGCCTGGCGTGAGCCTGGTGCAGAGGTACACGCCCAGTTACCGTGCCTACCAGGTCTCCCTCAACTGCAACTCCAGGTGAAATCTTACCCTGGCACTGGCCATGTCTGTCACTGCGACCTGTGATTGTCTGCTTTATCATGAGGGGATGCAGCTCTACCGATCATGTGGTGCTTATGTCCTGCAGCCGGCTGGCCATCATCGACATTGCGGGGGTGCTGACGTTCTTTGACCTGGAGCCTCGGGGGGCTGGGGGGGATGGCGGCCCCGGGGGAGCACAGGCGGCGGGGGACCAGCTGAAGTTCGAGCGGAAGGACGTGTGGGACATGCAGTGGGCGAGCGACAACCCCGACCTGTTCGCCATGATGGAGAAGACCAGGATGTACGTCTTCCGGAACTTGGACCCTGAGGTGAGGCGGTGGGCACGTGCCATGTAGGCCCCCCCTCCCCCCTCCGTGTGTTTTCCCCAGGGCCCCACGGTCTTTGGGCAGGCAGAGCTCTCACTGCACTATGAAAATAAACCCCCAGAGCCATGTGGGAGGCCCTCGCGTCCCGGTGAAACGCCGGCACTGTCCCCTGGGGCCGCCTCGGGGTGAGAAACCGGGCTGGAGATCCGCTCGGCTAGTGGGGAAGCACACGCCCTCCCCGTGTGCGCTGACACGCTACTGGAACACACACGCTTCACACCATGCTCTTAAATGTAGCATGACGCCTCTGAGTCGCTGACATTCATCATATTACACGCTTCTACGAAACGGCATGTCGTTTCAGGGAGATGAAACTTTAACGGCGTGTTTGATCACGCATTCAGGAGCCGATCCAGACGTCTGGCTACATCTGCAGCTTTGAGGACCTGGAGATAAAGTCAGTCCTGTTGGATGAGATCCTGAAGGTAAAGGAGCTTCTGCTGACTGGGTGTTATTCGCTGTTAAAGAGCGGCTGCTGTTATGGTGTCCACACATCCCTCTCTACACACACACATGCACCCACACTGATATACGCACACAGACACACACTCATGCACCGCATGTGACTCTGTTTAGGACCCTGAGAGGCCCAACAAGGACTACCTGATCAACTTTGAGATCCGCTCGCTGAGGGACAGTCGGGCGCTGATGGAGAAGGTGGGCATTGAGGATGCCTCGCAGTTCATCGAGGACAACCCACACCCCCGACTCTGGTAACGACCCTGCCAGGCAAGAGCCTTTTCCGAGTGCGCAGCGGGAGACGTGATGTCAGCAAAGCCCGTGATTCGGCCATCGCCGGCGGTCTCGGAGATGAATGGACAATGGGAGCCATTCATCCCTAAGCCTGCCTCTGCACCAGCGATCTGTGGAGGATCCAGACCACCGGGGGGTTATGCTGGGTGCATGCGTGTGTCTGGCTGTCTAACCAGTCCAGTTGAGCTGCCCATGTCACTTCTCACAGCCTATGGTGGAATTTGGAGGTACGGGGAAAAAAGCAGAGCTCGGGGGGGGGCACTGCTGAACCGCTGCATCAGCATGAAGAAGGACGTAGCCCCCGTTAATGCCCCTGAAATGACAGTGTATGTCAGAGTGCGTGTCCCGTGTATACAGAGTGAGGACTGTGTGTAAAGTCTGTGGTCTGTATGCGGCCTGTGCAAGGGCCACTGCTGAACAGCAGTGCAGTCACCCTGGACCCGCTGCACAGACCTGAGGCAGCAGGTCGGTCTACTCAGCAGTGCCCCCCGGTGTCCGTCACACAGGCGCCTGTTGGCCGAGGCGGGCCTGCAGAAGCTGGACCTGGCCACTGCAGAGCAGGCCTTCGTGCGCTGTGGGGACTACCAGGGCATCGAGCTGGTCCAGCGGCTGGCCCACCTGCACAGCGAGGCCATGAAGCGAGCCGAAGTGGCTGCCTACTTTGGCCGCTTTGAGGAGGCCGAGCGCATGTACCTGGACATGGACCGCAGGTGAGGCGTCTGCGTCTGCGCTCCTGCACGCAGCCGGGCCCCTGCCAGCGTCCCCTGACCCCGACCCCCGTCCCCCGCCTAGGGACCTGGCCATCGGCCTGCGGAGCAAGCTGGGCGACTGGTTCCGGGTTCTGCAGCTGCTGAAGTCCGGCTCGGGGGACAGCGACGATGCGCTGCTGGAGCAGGCCTACAACGCCATCGGGGATTACTTTGCAGACCGACAGAAATGGTAACAATCTCACGAGGGGGAAGCTTTAAGGAAACTAGGTCTGATGGGACCTCTTGGCTGGCAGTCATTTAATGCGGGTGCCTCACGTGTGGGTGGTCAGGAGTCAGTCTGCACCGATTTTGCAGTCAGTCCCATGAGCCCTGAGCCATGTTCCTCATTCCAGGCTGAACGCCGTGCAGTATTACCTCCAGGGCCGCAACCAGGAGCGGCTGGCCGAGTGCTACTACATGCTGGAGGACTACGAAGGCCTGGAGAGGCTGGCCAGCTCACTGCCAGAGAACCACAAGCTGCTGCCGGTGAGAGCCCGGGGGGCGGAGCCTGGAGCATGATGGGAAGGATCACATGACATCTGAGTGTGTCCTTTGGCCTCAACCGTAGGAGATCGGGCAGATGTTTGTCACGGTGGGCATGTGCGAGCAGGCGGTGGGCGCATACCTGAGGTGCAGTCAGCCCAAGGCCGCAGTGGACACCTGCGTGCACCTGAACCAGGTGAGGCCCGGTGTGCGCATGGGACGGGGTGGGAAGTCTGCAGGACAGGCAGGGATGTGATCGGCCACCTCCCCTCTGCGTTTACTGTGTCACACTGCCTCGTTACAGAAATGAGTGGTAATTATCCTCTCGTTGCTATGGCTGCCCGAGATCCTCGTGGAGATAATGGAGTCTCGCACAGGAAACAGGCGTGTCTGCACCCTAGTGTCTCTGGTTAACGTGTTAATTTGGCCTCTTTTCGCCAGTCCGTGACGTAGCTGCAGATGGTCAGAGGAAGTGGCCCCCGCAGTGCCCGCGGCCTCGCGTCCATAGCGCTCACGTGTCCTCGCTGTGCTCGCAGTGGAACAAGGCCGTGGAGCTGGCCAAGGATCACAACATGAAGGAGATCGGCTCACTCTTGGCCAAGTACGCCTCGCACTTGCTGGAGAAGAACAAGACGCTGGAGGCGGTGGAGCTGTACCGCAAGGCGCGGCACTTCCTGGAGGCGGCCAAGCTCATGTTCAAGGTGACAGGGTGACAGGTGCAGGGGGGGCACCTATCTGTAAACACAGGGGCTCCATTAGGACTGGCAGGTGGTGTGGCGGGTAAGTGAGGGGCCTCGAACGCGTACGCGCTTAACGGGGCCACGTGATCGCGACCCAGATTGCCGACGACGAGGCCAAGAGGAGGACCAAGCCGCTGAGGGTGAAGAAGCTGTACGTGCTGGCGGCCCTGCTCGTGGAGGATTACCACGGCCAGATGAAGGCCTCGCAGCACGACCGCGCCCAGGGCCGGAAGTCCGAGGTGGGCCCCCTTCTGGCCACCGCACGCATGACAAACTTTCACACCCAAATACTGACACTCGCCAGAAACATTTCATCTGGGGACAGAGCTGCACTCTGTGCCCTTCGTCAGAAGTGCCCGTTTCAGCTCCCCGCAGCTCCCCAGGCCTGGTGGTCATGTGGTTTGCACGGTGCCCCCATCAGGCCACGTCCGCTCTGGCCGGTCTGCTGGAGGAGGACGCGTCGTCAGACAGCCGTGTTGTGGACAGCGCCTGGCGTGGTGCTGAGGCCTACCACTTCTTCCTGCTGGCACAGAGGCAGCTGTACGAGGGCTACGTGGATGCGGCCATGAGGACAGGTACAGGCCCCTCTGCCCGGGTGGGTACAGCCCCCCTCTGCCTGAGCGGGAATGCCCCCTTCACCTCACCCCTTTGTCCTCAAGGTTCAGCATGAAGAACATCATGCTCTGAAGGCCCAGAGCCTGCAGATGTTCTTTCCCATCCCGCGGGGGAGCAGAGCGCATAGATGGAGGTCGTCAGGTCAGGCTGAACCAGAGCCCAGAGCGATGACCTGGCCCTCCCGGGGTGACTTCACAGGGCCCCCGTGTGACCTCAGGGGTCGGAGAGGGAGGGCGGTGGGGTCAGCGTTTGATGTGTTTGAAACGGCGTCCACACTGTGAATGTGGCAGTACTAGGACCTTGGGGAAGTGCTGTTGGTCTTTAATTCGAACCATACCAGGACACTGGTTAGTGTGTGCGCTGGAGAAGCAGGGCTATAAAGAGAGCAAAGTGTGGGGCCGTCTGACGGGGGCCTGGGCTTTCTCGACAGATAAACAGTGAGCCATGGATGGCCTGGCAGAGACCTGCCCCCACCCTCGCTCAAATAAGCATCCGCACGTGTTACCACGCTCCATACCCAACCACTCCCGTGAAAAATGTCTTGTGTTTATGGCGGTCTGGCAGTGAATCACCCTGGTCTGGAGGGTAAACAGGATCACGCTGGGGTCTGTCTGCTGGGAGGAGCGGGGGGGGGGGGGGGGGGGGGGGGGGCATCTCGCTGATGGGCCACCTGTGTACACGCGCTGACATACAGCCCACATCAGGACGCACTAAATCCGATCAGGGGATGGAGTCTGTGTGCTATGCTAAGCTCCCTGCTTGTGGGGTTGTGATGTTACCGTTTATCGCTGCGCCAAACACCGACTTCTCACTGGGGAAACGCACCATGGCCATCTGGTCAGTAGTGACCTCTGCGTTGGAGTTCTCCTCACACACACCTCGCTGAGCTTCACCTCAGCCTTCAAAAGCATCAGAAGACGACTTGTTTGAAAATTTCCTCTTTGGATCCAGAAATCCAGCGATAAGCTCTGGGGCACGACGGCGATATTTCACATGACTTTGTCTGACTAACCAGACCCATAAATGTTCATCAGCTCTGGTTTGTGACTCATAAATCTCACTTTGACAATAGGAAAGCGCATAACACAATGTAATTTACTCAGATACGGAATGATGTGATCTTATGAAAGCAAAGGAGAAGTAACATGTACGGTAACGTCCCTGCAGCTTTGCACCTCCGTGACTACGAGGACATCATCCCTGCCGTGGAGATCTACTCACTCTTGGCCATCTGCTCCTCTGCCAACCGAGCCTTCGGAACCTGCTCACGGGCCTTCATCAGGCTGGAGTCCCTGGAGAGCCTGAGGCCGGAGCAGAGGCAGATGTATGAAGACCTGGCCCTGGAGATCTTCACCAAATACAGCCCCAAGGACAACAGGAAGTCCGAGCTGGACAGCGCGCCTGAGAGGTGAGAGCAGCTCAGACCCGTGGCCTCTTCTACAAGCCAATCAGTAGGCAAGTAACGATGAATCGCCAATCGGTTTAAAATCGACGTAAATGTATGACTATTTAAACCGGCTGATGTGGAAAATGAATCGCTCAGTTAGCCGTCAGATGTCACTGCGTGTTCACGTCGACGTCGTACGTTACTGTTTATTTGAAGATTTTTATTTTGATTTGGGTTTTTTTAATCAGTATTTTATTCAATTTCAGTTGCACTGTTAAGAAGAGGACACGTTTTGCACAGTTTAGAAGGATAAAGGAATATTTTTTAATAAATTTGTCTGCAGCTCATTCTGTTAAAAAATTGTGAGAAAATCGTATCGAATCGTGAGTTGAGTGTATCGTTACATCCCTACCAATCAGCAAAGGGCTCCAGCATTCAGGAGAGTGGGCATCCGTGCCCAGAACAGTAGCACTGTTGGCTCTGGATCTGCATATATAATCAGTTAAGATGAAGATGTAATTCCTCGATCTCGGGAGGAAATTGTCCAACCATAGCTCAGAAGTGGAGATTCTGGGTCCAGAGAGTTCAAATCCAGACTTTTGTTTTAACCAACCAGTTGAGCATAAAGAATCAAAGTCACAGAGTTCTCAGCTGGACCTGAAATCCGCACCTCTGCCACAGCTGCTGATTGTTGAGGGAGAGAGCGTATTTTTGGAAGTGGATAACTGGCAATGTTCTGGCATGACTCGTGCGCTGTGTAGGGGGGACTCTGTTCAGTCCTAATTCCCATAAGTCCTGGGTCTTCTCACGGGGGTCCCGGTGCTCTGCTCCCCGCAGGGCCGAGGGGAAACTGCCCACCTGCATCGTGACGGGCCGGCCCATCTCGGAGTACCAGTTCTGGATGTGCAGTGTTTGCAAGCACTGCGCCCTGGAGCAGGAAGTCAGCCGCCATGCCTTCTGCCCGCTGTGCCACAGTGCCGTGGGATAGCCAGCGATACAGCTCTACCTGTCCAGCAGGTGGCAGTGTAACGTGTCCCGTGAGCACTATGACAGGTGTTGGGGGGGGGGGGGCATTTCTGGGCATTCTCAACACTTACCAGCCACCATATGTCACCAGAGTGCAGAGTGCAGTTCACGTATAAGCATTCACTCCCTCTGCTTGTGATTTCTGTGATCTTGTATAAAACCTTTTATCAGATTAAAAAGCTGAGAGACCAGTGAGTGAAATCTTACATTGAACATATCAGTTGTCATAAAATGTATAAATAAATTGTGCAAGTACATATGTATGTTATGTGAATTACTGTTTATTGAATGTGGGAGACAAGTAGGATAATTTGGGTAAAATGCCCAGACTTGTGTGTGGAAACGGAAACCCTGCAAGAAATGAAGACATCTCCTGTTGGGCCGCTTTGGATGCCGCTGCCTGTATTAGTGTGCCGTCTACTGGTAGGTATGCGATACACAGAGCAATCGAATTAAGCTGATGTATGCTTTCTGCTGTATCGACGCTGGCAATTTAGTACCCATATAATCCATTCCCATTATAAAAGTACACGCTCTCTCAAGACTGCAGTCGATACTAGAGACAAAAGAAAAGTATTATGTATCTTATTTGAAAAATGAATAGACTCATTCGTATAATGAAATGCACCACATGTGTATCGAACCAGGACGAATCGGAGCGCTTTGAATTTTCGTTTGAAATTATGGCACTGTTCCTCTAGATGGCGCTGGTGTTTAAGCCGATCAACGGCCGATATGGAAGTTCACCCGCAGAGGCGCACACTAAACACTGCATCAGTGAATCTGTTTATCTGGATTCATGGTAAATGTTTTTTTTTAATTAACACGTTTTTATCAAAGCAGTTATCTCCCCCAAGAACCCACTAATAATATAAAAAGTTAAATACCCAATTCTGGGAACATAGTCTCGACGTTGGTCTGATAGCGTTGATCTTTGTTCTAGTTTTTAAAAATTATAATAGCAGCCATTCAAAAATTAATACTCTGAATGAAAATGTGGTTTTGTGAGACCTTTTTAACCGGAAAGAGTGTGATAAAATAATTTTATAGGCCTTTAGAAAATTACTCATTTGTAAAAGGTTAATTGCTTTGAAACGATAATCCTAGTATGCCATTAAATTTAGTATTAAACCGATATCAGTCAGAACTTTTATTGCCGAAGTCGGAGATCCGCGGTGGGATGTGCCGTCAATCTACGAGAAACTGTGTGTGACGACTAACGCACTGCAGCAACGACAACAGCATGTGATTCGTCTATGCAGGAGACAAAGTACATTCAGTAGTTTTCCTGTTGGGGGGGGGGGTTTGGAAATCAAAGCAGGTAGATTGATAGTGAGCGTGTCATGCAAGCGATGATTTGCAGCCCTCTTCGCTCTGAATTACGGGAGAGCATCTATAGACGCGCACTAAGTGCAGCACTTGCATCCTGCCTGTAGTGCGTCCAAGTCTGTCATTGCAGAATTTCCAGCGGATCTTGCACATTTGGTTCTTTTGTGTTTTTTCTGAAGTATATTTGTTATTTCTTTTCCCGTTTTCCTTTTTAGTTTTGATATACGAGTCGTGTGCACGGACTCCAATGCTAACTGTATGTGACTTGCCCTAAAATTGGAAAAAAGTTGGAAACCGTGCAGGCCTATCTATGTTGGATGCGGTGTTAGGAGAAATTATACTATAGGTAATGAAACGGGAGAGTGGCGGTCTATACTAAAGTATCGATTGTTTAATTTTGAGAATCGATTCTAACATTAAAATATCGGCGTTTTTCTACCTGGTAATTTATGTTTATATTATTAAAGGAAGCAGGACGGAGAACTACTACCAGTCAGAGCTTCCCATCGGGGGAAAGGGGGCTGTCAAGAATATCGACCTTGGGAAGACACGGGTGTCTAACTCCAGGCCCGGGGGACTGGAGCCCTGCAGTTTTTGGGTTTTCCCGCATTTAACACACCTGATTCAACTCCTTGTGCTAATTACCCCACAGCTCTGGAGCTGAATCATTTGTGGTAGAACAGGGAAAGGACTAAGAGACACAGGACTCCGGCCCTCCAGGCACCTCAGTTGGTAAGGGATCGAAAAGAAAATCAGTGTATCGTCCATCCGTACATCTCAAGCATTTGAACTGTGTTGACGTATGTAAACCACCAGATTACCCTTAAAACCATTTTGCATCTAGTCTTCATATTTGCGCAGATAGGCAACTAGTAATTAAGCGAAATTAACAGTATCTCAAAGTTTCGGGGCAAATCTAACTTACAGCATACCTCAGATAGAGCTAACCCAGCCAGAAACATGCCAAGTGCAGTATTTGTACATATAGATAAACTTTTCCAAGAGCGCCTCTTATTTGGACCGACCAACTAGCGGCGCACGCGGGCTCCACATGCCTCGAGCTCCCGTCATCTGCAGCCTGAGTGCACTCTGAGCGCGCACTCTCAGCACGCGCGTTCACTCCGCGGGGGAGGAGCGCGCGAGCCAATGGCCACGGACAGTTGGCGCAGGCGGGCATCCTCGTGAGCGCCGGTGCGGCGCGCGCCCAGCTTGCGGTCGCCAGTTCGCTGCGGGACGCACGGAGAGCGGCACATCTTCCCTGGAAAAGTTAGCGAAGATGCTTGACGGTGAGCTGCGGGGCGACGCCGGGCTTCGCTGGGCTGGTCTGCGTTGGGCTGGTCTGCGGGGTGAGACCCGGGATAATATAACAAAGTTGACGGTGGACTCGATGTTTCCACCTTTTCCTTGCATTTTTCAGCGAAACCTTCAGTCCTCTTGGACTTGTACTGGAAGCGATAAGCCGCTAATTCAGTACGTTGCCTCGCGAATACCGGGACTTATTTGGTATTTTATTCTATCACCTCAGCTGTATATACATGTACTTATGACTGAGAGTGTTCAGTAAAAGTGAAGTGACACTCTGGACAGGTTTTAAGGCAGGTCAACTTTATTGTGCCGGTGATTCCTAATGTAATTTTTGACATTGTAGGGATGCTGGCTCTACTGATACGCACATATCCCGCTTTGACTGACGAGCGTACATTTATGGAGTATCCTGGCTAATGCTCTTTATTCCGGATTTATTTCGAAGTGCAATTTCAGCTGTTTGTTTTCATATAAGTACCATGATGTGCTTGTCGGTGTTTGAAAATGTATCGCAGTTTGCGTTCTCGTGTGGGACCTGCCCTGACAGCGGCGCTTCTGTAGTCTAGCTGCTTTTAATGTTACCCGTGTTTTGTTCTGGGCTTTTGGGAGTTGCATGTTATATTTTAGTCGATAATTTATTTTTAAAAAGTGGGCTGGTTCCTCAACATCCTGACATATCCTGTGTGTATTTGATCACATCCTGTGGATTTTGACCATTACATTACTTCTTTACACAGCATGTAGTTTGAGTATGGAATAGTCTTCCTGCTAGTGTAGCGGAAGCTAAAACCCTGGGTTCCTTTAAATCAGAGCTAGATAAGATTTTATCAGCTCTGAGCTATTAGTTAAGTTCTGCCCAAATGAGCTTGATGGGCCGAATGGCCTCCTCTCGTTTGTAAATTTCTTATGTTCTTATGGTGTCAGCTCGAGTGAAAAAGTTTCTTTTGGTGGAAACTAGACTCAGGTTCTGTTCTGTTGTTGCAGGTGATGGAGCCGAAATCTGTGTCTTAATGTGAGTCCCGTTGCCCCGTGTGACCCACTATGGTGTATGGACAGGTCCTCCACGCTCGTGGTGAGCAGACGGGCTTTGTCAATCTTAACGTGGGGGGCTACAAGCAGCAGGTGGACCCCAGCACTCTGCTCCGCTTCCCCCAAACCCGACTGGGCCGCCTTCTAGCCTGCCACTCTGAGGAGGCCATCCTGGAGCTCTGCGATGACTACAATGTGGCCGAGAAGGAGTACTACTTTGACAGGAACCCACGCTTATTCCTCTATGTGCTCAACTTCTACCACACCGGCAAGATGCATCTGATGGAGGAGCTCTGCGTCCTCTCCTTTAGCCAGGAGATCGAGTACTGGGGCATCAAGGAGCTCCACCTGGACTCCTGCTGCAGCAATCGCTTCCACGAGCAGAAGGAGTATGCCGAGGAGAACGACTGGGAGCGCAGGAGCGATGAGCAGCAGCATAGCCTTGACTCCTCTTTTGAGGAGCTCTCCCTCGTGGATAAAGACCTTGAGAAGTTCGAGGGCTCCTGGTGCTCCGAGGTCCGGAAGAGCATCTGGCTTCGGCTGGAGAACCCCGGCTATTCATGCTCGGCTAAGCTGCTCGCCGTGGCCTCCCTGTGCGTAGTCATCACCTCCATCATAGCCATGTGCGTCCATAGCATGCCTGAGTTCCAGCGGTTCGATGCCAACGAGAAGGCAGTGGAGGACCCTGTGCTGGAGGTCTTTGAGATCGTCTGCGTCCTCTGCTTCTCGGTGGAGTTCCTCGTGCGGCTGCTGGTGACACCTTGTCTGTGTAAGTTCCTGAGCAGTCCCCTCAACATCATCGACTTTGTGTCCGTCGTGCCCTTCTATGCCACGCTGGCGTTCGACTCGGTGGACGAGGATAGCGAGGAGAATGCGGACCTGGAGAACGTTGGCAAGGTGGTGCAGGTGCTGAGGCTCATGCGCATCTTTCGCATCCTCAAGTTGGCCAGGCACTCGGTGGGCCTGCGCTCCCTCGGCGCTACTCTCAGGCACAGCTACCACGAGGTGGGCCTGCTTGTGCTCTTCCTCTCCGTGGGCATCTCTATCTTCTCCGTCCTCATCTACTTCGTAGAGAAGGAGGAGGAGGAGTCGGAGCTGCACAGCATCCCCGTGGGTTGGTGGTGGGCGACCATCAGCATGACTACGGTCGGCTACGGGGACACCTACCCCGTGAGCCTCTGCGGCAAGATTATTGCGACAGTGTGCATCATCTGTGGTCTGCTGGTGGTCGCCCTGCCGATCACCGTCATCTTCAACAAGTTCTCCAAGTACTACCAAAGGCAGAAGTGCATGGGCCAGGGGACCAGCCCGGTCCAGGGGCCGCCTCCCGACCTTCCGTACTTCAACATCCGGGACTCGTTCGGGCAGGAGATGCGCTCATTTCTGAGCAGCGTCTCCTCACGGGGCAGCGGGACCGGCAGTGACGACGACACGGACGCTTCCGAATTCGGAGACCTGGAGACCGTGTGCAGGTTCGAGAATAGATCGGGATTCTCCAGCCACCCCTAAGGACCTCCTCCCAGCTAAAAGTGATTAGCGCTTGCTCAGGGTGATTAGCGTGTCCTCACGGTCTCTTCCAGGGCTCCGTCGACGGCCCGTCGCATCCCGGGAGACCCGCTTTGGTTTGTACTCCTGACTGCTGTGTGTTTCATTTGCTGCTTGAGGCTAAGATGGGGAGTGCGTGTTTCTCCGAGGAGAAGCGGGCGGGCATGAGGGTGAATGGGCCGCACCTGTGCTGGTAACAAGATTCCGATAATAGAGCACTAACATAATGGAGACACTGAGCTGTATGAAGTGGCATGACGTATATCTAAAGATGCCGTCTGTGATAGACGGGACTGCATGTGACTCCCAGGGCTCGGTATGGAAACACTGATCCAATAAAGTGTGACACACTGATTGCGGTGACTGTCTCTTCATTACAACGGCACTGTAACATCATCCTGGCTCCTATGTGGGGGGGATCAAGGTCGGGGTCTGTTGCTCCTGCTTAATGCAACCCGGCTGGTTATGTTCCCGCATTTCTCAGTCGATAATATTGGGATTTTGGATTTTGTAGAGCACTTTGCAGCTGTGATTGTAACAGGAATCCTGGAGTTTCTGATCACGCTGACTAGTGGCCACCAAAGTGGTTGAAACGTGGTTGCAGACAGATTTCCCACGCTCCTTTGCAGAGAGACCTTTTGTCTTTGTTTACGTGCATTTTTCCAACCAAGGCATCTGACAGGTATTTAGTCACATTAAGGGCTGCATGTCTGTGATGGGCCGCCCGCCCCCCCCCCAGGGTTGTTCCCCACCTCGTGCCTGTAGCTTCCAGTATAAGCTCCGGACCCCCCGCGACCCAGAAGGATAAGCGGTTTGGAAAATGGATGGATGGATGGGCTGCATGTCAGCTGCTCTCTGGACGGCTTGGGGGGGGGGGAGGGTCATAGTCTCATTTATTGCCCTTTTTGCAGAGGAGGGAGTCCCACAGGCGCTGGGGGTTCGACCCCGAGTGCTCTCTCTGGCAGCTTGATCTTGCGCTTCCCAGTCATCTGGCCCATTTTAAACAGCCAGCGTGTAGTTACAGGGTGGGGCCATGCTGTTTTCTCGATCAGAGCATTGGAGTCTGAACGAGTCTGAGAGGATGGGATTGGGACCGTCACTTATGAGCATAGCCTGGGGCCAGGAACAGAGGATTGAAAAGAAAATAAGTGGAGATCGATGGTCGCCGCATGGTCGGCATTGAGTTTGTGTCGGTGGTTTGACCTTTCCGATCGCAGAGCTTCCCGACGCTGCCTCAGGAACCTCTCCCCGTAAGCACTCTGCGCTGGGAATCCTGTAGCGGTTTGCGGGTGGGAGAAATGGGCTGTTCAGTACCTCCGGCTGCCTGGGCTTTGTGTGTACTGTCAGTGTCGCGCTCTGCAGTCTCATTCAAAGGGGAGCTGTATGTACATAGCTTGCCGTAACTGTCTCAGGACCGCAGCCCTTATTTATTGATATTTTAATTGCTCTGGGATGGCCCGCTCGCAATAACGACGGCGCCTTTGAAGCAGAGCAGTTCTGTCGGCGTGGAATCCCTAATGCGTCCGTGGTGCTTGATCAGTCCAGTCACACCGGCTCGCGTCCCGGCCAGATGTGGGATATTTTATTAATGCTCACTGACGGGTCTCTCGGCGTGGGGCTGGTCTAAGCACTTGCCCCTCCCCCAGTGCTCTCACGATCCCCGATCGAAAACACCTGCCGGTATGAACCCCACGGGCCCCCTTCCAAACGGGACAGTCGCTATGCGCCAAATGCTCGTCTTCAAAATGGTACCACCGGCAAATGCGACAAGCCACCAGGATCGTGCTGCTAGAGACGAAGCTTGGGATCGAACCCCAGGCTTCTGTGGGGCTCCTTCCTCTGCAAAAAGGCCAGTCGGTGGAATTATGACCCCCCCATGCCGTCCCGGCAGCGGCTCACATGCGGCCCTTAATGTGAATAAATACCTGTCAGATGCCTTGGCTGGAAAAATGCACGTAAAAGAGGAAAGGTCTCTCTGCAAACTGCATCTGGATGGAGAATCGCATGTGCAAACAGGGTTCCGATGGTAAACCCAGCTCCCCTCATGCACCTCTGGCTCTGATCCAAGACATAACGGGCCCGGATGGCAGATGGGGTCATTACGCATCCCTTTAGAGCTGGGAAACGGCGTAACGAGCATTAAAATCTGTGCTTAATGGGTTTAAAAGTTGGATTGAGTGTTGAATTCATCAGGTGAGTGTTTGTGAAAGGGGGGGGAGGGGGTAGGATTGGAATAAAATTGTCCCCTTCATATAAGGAGCGCTCCGATGTCTGCAGTTCACTGTGGGTGGGGGCAGCTTTGGATAAATGCAGGTTTTATGTCGGTAGGTCTTACTGCTCTGGCGTGTGTTAGATGGCTGAACGCGTGATGTTTCTGCTCGCCTGCCCTGTCGCTGCTGGTAGAAGTGTCGCCTCCACTTTATAAAGGAAGATGACAGGCGTAAAGCAATAATCTCCCCCAACTCCGATTGGGCCGGCATCCCTCACAGAAGCCATCAAGGCCACGGTGTGACGAATGGACGGCCTAATTTGATGGATTAGGTGACAGGATTCAGAGGCGCCAGTCATGCCCGCACAGCAGGAGGGCTCCAGATGACTCCGGAAGGTGAGTCTCCGGACCGGAGCGTAGGATGTCTGTATGGGATCCTTCTTCCTGCCTGGACGCACCTCTTCCTCTTCCATGGGATAGACTTATTTAGAGATCGCAGCCTGCGAGGGTTCATAAGCAGCTGTGCTTCAGCCTGGATTAATGCTCTCGGTAGATGTCACTGTGATCTCTCATGTCCAACATCAGGCCCAGCTGCTCCCGGGACGCATTTACTCGGCCAGTCATGTCCTGGAAGTACAAAGCAAAGCCTGTTTTTATTGTCGGTAAGACGAATCACTTCAGTTTGGCTGCAGCGTCAGCACTGGAAGCAGTGCGGACTCGAGCGGGTCAGCGATTACTGCCTCCCGCTGCCTCCCGTCTCGTAAAGCCGTGACAGTGATCTGAAATTTACTCTCAGTCATCTACTCTCAGGTTTATAGGACCGGCACATCCTTTGTTGGTAGGAAAGATGTGAGTGAATGAAATCTGTTGAGGGTCCCGGTAATGGCTTTGCGGTGGGGGACGATTCCCGTCTCCTTTGAGATCTTTTCCCTCAGATGGGGTGGCTTTGGCCATGAGATTCAGGCTCCAGGGCAGCGGGGCTCCATCAAACGCCCATAGTGTTTTATGGTCCTCTGCCCCCACTTCCGACCTTTTTTTCACAGTCAGCCTGAAGGTGAGGACCTGTGGGGGGGGGCTCGCAGTTCCTCTGTGACTAACATCAGCTGCATCTCACAGTAAGCCTGCTGGGCCAGCGAGCAAAAGTGCTGAGATTGCAGTGTGGAGATGGGGGCTGTGATGCATTTCCTGGGGGACGTGGGGGGGGGGATCAGGCAATGTGGTCAGGTTTCAGTCTGGGGGGGGGGGTTATGCTTTGGGGAGGGGGTGGATCTGATGGCCGTGTGTGTCTGTTTATTTCGGGCCATAGAAAGTGCCAATTTTAACACACCCCTAGTCCCCATGCCTCAAAATCTGACCCTTATGGTCAAGGACAGAAAGGACAGCACCACCTACCTGTGGGTCATCTCTGGTAGAGCTGGAAGTGAGACATCGCTCAAGCTGTGAGCAGACTTCGTTCTGCATGAGAGGTTTCAAATCAAACAGTTTCACTGAATTAACTGGTGCAATTTATGTGTTCATCTGCTTTTATTCCTACCGTGGGGTTGCCTGGTAAGACTTAAATCCCCCCCCTTCTCCCCTCAGCCTCAGCTGTTTTACTGTCCAATTTCCTGTTTGACAGCCGTAACTGCAAGGAGGCCATTCCCCCGGCTCCGCATGTGTCCGACACGGACGGCAGGAGGTTCTGCTTGTGCTACATGGTTAGAGAAGGGCTGCCCAGAGTGTGTGAGCATCCACCGGATCCCGTGATCTGTGATGGAGGAGCCTGTGAGAAACGTAAACATGCGACTGTGAGGATTAGTCTCTGCTTCTGCGGCCACGAGGGGGCTGATGGAAAGTTCTATGGCTGTTGACGTCCGCCCCGATATTGTCCAGCCAGGGGAGCTGAAGCCCATCCGTGTTTTTGCCGCTGAGCTAATGGACCGTGAAATGAAGAGACACAATCCAGAGCCGTGAGGCTCGTGGACCCAGCCGGGTCGGGGGCACCGAAGAGGTTCTGTTTGTCGCCTTGCCGCTCATTTATTACCTGATGTGGCCTGAATTTTCCGGGGCTAGATATTTAACCACAGTATCTCCAGCTCTTGATGGGCCCCTGGGACTCGAACCTGCAGCTGACGGCTCCCCCTCCTGTCTAGCGGTAGCGGTTCCCGGTGCGCATGCTGAACCGTCTGCTTGAGCAGTTAATGGAATATCGATCCCCTGCGTGTGTTTAGTGACAGAGGCGCACGAGGGTCTGAACGTGCCTCCGTAGTGAGAATAATTAACGGTGGTAATTTGGACACGTAATGAAAGGGGAAATAAAACATTTAAATGTTCATTGTTGCTTCACTTAATCGCTGATTCAGGGAAGGGAAAACAAGGACTGAGATTCAGCGCAATTGAAGTGCTGGTAAATGATACGTGGGATGTAGGACTATAATCGTGCTGTCATGCCATCGACGTGTGTAGACGGCCTACTCTGTTACGGGAGCCGTTAGTGAGCCCCTTAGGAGTCAAGGGGGGGGGGGGGTGTATGTAGTTTATCCAGGGCTTCCCCTGGCTATAGGCAGCTACCTGGTGCCCCGAATTACCTGTGTTGCAGAGGAAGTGAAATGACCATCAATTATTTAGCAGGGGGGGGGCCTTGCCTGATAACCCACTGGAGTGAATGGAAATCCAGGATTATCTGTCCATGGTTCTGTAACACGGGCAGCCTGCGTCACTGACCGCTAACACTGGAAGTAGCGTGTTCTTATGTGGGGGCGTGGGCCCCCCAACGGGAACCTGAGATGGAGTTCTTTTGCATCTGACCCGCTCCACTGTCCCGCATCATGCAAAGTCATCAGTGGCAGCAGGGAGCTAGAATATTTTTATGCAGGTGATCCCAAGAGGACAGGAAGTGACGGCGAGGAAGAGGGCGAGGGCACGTAGTGAGCAGCCAGTCGTGATGCGTCACTGTGGGGGGGGCGTGAGAGTCAGGCAGTGTCCGGTGATCTGGTTGGGGGAAAATAAAAGCGTTGAGTCATGCGTGACATGCGAGAAATGCAACAAGGGCGTCACAATTAAGAGCGGCGCTTTTTCGCGGATAGGAATGGTCAGCAGTGCCTGTATGGTGGCATGGAGACCACACTGTGTGCCCACAGGGCGCCTCGCGCCCACAGGATATGTA